CCAGGGTTGGCACCCTCCAGGGCTGGCACCCTCCAGGGCTGGCACCCTCCAGGGCTGGCAACCTCCAGGGCTGGCAACCTCCAGGGCTGGCACTCTCCAGGGCTGGCACTCTCCAGAGCTGGCACCCTCCAGGGCTGGCACTCTCCAGAGCTGGCACCCTCCAGGGCTGGCACCCTCCAGGGCTGGCAACCTCCAGGGCTGGCAACCTCCAGGGCTGGCACTCTCCAGGGCTGGCACTCTCCAGAGCTGGCACCCTCCAGGGCTGGCACTCTCCAGGGCTGGCACTCTCCAGAGCTGGCACCCTCCAGGGCTGGCACCCTCCAGGGCTGGCAACCTCCAGGGCTGGCAACCTCCAGGGCTGGCACTCTCCAGGGCTGGCACCCTCCAGGGCTGGCACTCTCCAGGGCTGGCACTCTCCAGGGCTGGCACTCTCCAGAGCTGGCAGGACACCGTGCAGAGTGTCGGGTGCCATTCCAGCCTGGAACACATTCTCCAGGTCAGGCCAACAAAAGAAGAAGGCTGAATAATTAGTGTGACCAGCCAGACATCATCATGCATGAATCATTCAACGAACATGATTCCTCGAAGACTGTGAGCAACGTTTGAAAATGATGAGCACGTCGTGCACTCCCAGTGTTCGACCACCCTGACCACACACTCAAAATACTCACTTTCCTTAAATATATATACTGTACCTGTAGTAACAATTTTGCTCCAGTACACCAGGACAAAGTTCACGACGGTGCATCAGGAAACAGCTTGAGGCTAGAAGGAAAGTCTACCCTAATATGTCTTCTTGAGTGACTAAAGGGATATAATTACTCCCGTGATGTAGTCTTCATACAGAGGTCTAAGAAACTGCTTGAGCCTTCGTCGAGAAAAAAGGAGAAGTTCAACGTTTAGAAGAAACGTTGAACTAAAACGTCTGGATGCACATTTAACCTTTGTGTTAACCAGTAGCTCCTACTTTTTAACAAAAGATGGAACACTACACATGATCGAACACTCCCAATACTGTATCTGGATAGGGTTCTGGGAGTTCTCCTACTCTCCAAACCCAGCTCAAGGCCAGGGTCGACTTGTGGTCGCCAGGCTGTTGCTTGGAGCGGAGGTATACCATTGTGATGGGATCCCTGGATTTGAAAGTTGTCGTAATCCATCCGATCATTTTTCTGGCTGACACAATATTTGCTTGGTTATGCTCCCTAAACGTTAGGTCGTCGGACATCATTATTCCCAAATCCTTGACATGTTGTTTACCTATTATGGACACATTCGATTGTGTTTTGTACCCTGTATTATGTTTAAGGTTCTAATTTTTACCGTACCTGAGTACCTGGAATTTATCACTGTTAAACATCATGTTATTTTCTGCTACCCAGTCGAAAACTTTGTTAATATCTGCTTGAAGTTTTTCAATGTCTTTAGCAGAAGTAATTTTCATGCTAATTTTTGTATCATCTGCAAAGGATGACACGAAGCTGTGACTTGTATCTTTATCTATATCTGATATGAGAATATGGAACAGCAATGGTGCAAGGACTGTACCTTGAGGTACAGAGCTTTTAACTGCGCTTGGACTTGATTTGAACTGATTGACTGTTACTCTTTGTGTTCTGTTCAACAGGAAATTGAGTATCCAGCGTCCTACTTTGCCAGTTATTCCATTGATCTCATTTTGTGTGCTATCACTCCATGGTCACATTTGTCGAATGACATTGCAAAGTTTGTGAACTCATTATTTTCCATAAAACTAGAAATTTGATTCCTCATCACTCTTTCAAAAACTTTTATTATGTGTGATGTTAGTGCAACTGGCCTATAATTTTTTGCCAAGGCTTTACTATCCCCCCCCCTTGTGCAGAGGAGCTATATCTGCAGATTTAAGTGCTGCTGGTATCTCCCTTGTATCCAGGCTCTTTCTCCATATTACACTGAGTGCTCGCGCTACTGGTACTTTACATTTCTTTATGAATATTGAATTCCATGAGTCAGGCCCAGGAGCTGAGTGCATAGGCATATTGTCAATTTCTCTTTCAAAGTCTTCCGAGTTTGTGGTAATATTCGTTATATTATCTGCAGCTTGAATGTCAGTCATAAAGAAGCTGTCTGGGTCATCAACTTTCATGTTGTTTATTGGTGTGCTAAACATAGCCTCATACTGAATTAGAATTTCACTAATTTCTTTGTTGTCCTCTGTGTACGTACCTTCAGTTATAATTAATGGTCCAATACTGGTCGAGGTTTTTTATTTTGATTTTGCATATGTGAAAACATATTTTGGATTTTTCTTTATCTCTTGTATAACTTTCTGTTCCAATTCCATTTCCTCAGACTCATATGATCGCTTCAACGTTTGTTCTATTTCTTCGATCTCCCTGTTTAGGCTTATTTTCCTTGCTTGTGATAGTTGTGTCTGCCGAAGCATTTCCGTTATTTTGTTCCTTCTCCTGTACAGTCGTCTGCGTTCTCTTTCTAGAGTGGTCCTCTTTCTGCCCCTCCTCACAGGCACGTGCTTCAAGCAGACCTTGTAAGCTTCAGCTGTCAGTTGAGCTATTCCCTGTGTGGGAGTTTTGTCGCTTAACACCGTCTCCCATTGAATGGTTGCAAGGTCTACATTTATTTTTTCCCAGTCAATCCTCTTATTGTTGAAATTGAATTGATTGAATACCCCTTCTCGCTTGTTGGGTCTCTTAGACCTACAACCGTTATTTATGCTAGTTCGCACTTCAATGAGCTTATGGTCTGAGTATGAAGTATCTGAGATTGTGATATCCCTGATTAGTTCATCATTGTTTGTGAATAACAAGTCTAGTGTGTTTTCGTTCCTAGTTGGTTCTGTAATCTGTTGATTGAGCGAGAATTTGTCACAGAATCTCAACCTTTGTACACTGTGGAAGGGAAGAGTTAACAGCAACAAAGCCAGGACTAAGATTCATGTTGGGTATGTTGTGTATAAGAGCATGTTGGGTATGTTGTGTATGAGAGTATGTTGGGTATGTTGTGTTTGGGAGCATGTTGGGTATGTTGTGTATGAGAGCATGTTGGGTATGTTGTGTATGAGAGCATGTTGGGTATGTTGTGTATGAGAGCATGTTGGGTATGTTGTGTATGAGAGTATGTTGGGTATGTTGTGTATGAGAGCATGTTGGGTATGTTGTGTATGAGAGTATGTTGGGTATGTTGTGTATGAGAGCATGTTGGGTATGTTGTGTATGAGAGCAGTAAAGGAGAAAGCAGTTGAGGAAATCAGTAAAGGAGACAGACCTGAGAGTGGACATGACCCCAGACAAAGGTGAACAGCAGCATAAGGTGAAGGGAAGACAGACCTGAGAGTGGACATGACCCCAGACAAAGGTGAACAGCAGCATAAGGTGAAGGGAAGACAGACCTGAGAGTGGACATGACCCCAGACAAAGGTGAACAGCAGCATAAGGTGAAGGGAAGACAGACCTGAGAGTGGACATGACCCCAGACAAAGGTGAACAGCAGCATAAGGTGAAGGGAAGACAGACCTGAGAGTGGACATGACCCCAGACAAAGGTGATGCCAGAAGCCCACATTAGCAGAGTAACAACAGTTGTGTAAGTCATACTCCCCAACATCCGGGGATCCTTCTGACACTGGCACAAGGGGGGAGGGGAGCTTCCTGGGCCCCCCTTGTACAGCGATGGTCAGACCCACTCTGGAGTATGCAGCACCAGCATGGAACCCTTACCTCAAGGGGGGGGGGGGAGCTTCCTGGGCCCCCCTTGTACAGCGATGGTCAGACCCACTCTGGAGTATGCAGCACCAGCATGGAACCCTTACCTCAAGGGGGGGGGGGGGAGCTTCCTGGGCCCCCCTTGTACAGCGATGGTCAGACCCACTCTGGAGTATGCAGCACCAGCATGGAACCCTTACCTCAAGGGGGGGGGAGCTTCCTGGGCCCCCCTTGTACTGCGATGGTCAGACCCACTCTGGAGTATGCAGCACCAGCATGGAACCCTTACCTCAAGGGGGGGGGGCTTCCTGGGCCCCCTTGTACAGCGATGGTCAGACCCACTCTGGAGTATGCAGCACCAGCATGGAACCCTTACCTCAAGGGGGGGGGGGCTTCCTGGGCCCCCTTGTACAGCGATGGTCAGACCCACTGTGGAGTATGCAGCACCAGCATGGAACCCTTACCTCAAGGGGGGGAGCTTCCTGGGCCCCCCTTGTACAGCGATGGTCAGACCCACTCTGGAGTATGCAGCACCAGCATGGAACCCTTACCTCAAGGGGGGGAGCTTCCTGGGCCCCCCTTGTACAGCGATGGTCAGACCCACTCTGGAGTATGCAGCACCAGCATGGAACCCTTACCTCAAGGGGGGGAGCTTCCTGGGCCCCCCTTGTACAGCGATGGTCAGACCCACTCTGGAGTATGCAGCACCAGCATGGAACCCTCACCTGTGTAACACGGGACGGGGTTTAGACTCTCTCTCGTCCTTTAATGTCCCGTAAATAAACTTAATTCCAAGACCCTAGAGCTAACTCTCAGCTGAGTCCCAGGCCACGTGGTCTTACACGTTCGATCGTCTAAGGTTCAACAGCCGCGTGACGTCGACACGAGGCTCTCTAGCCAACTCAATGGATCTTTTGACGCCGCCGCCACCAAACCCACACAATTCAGATTAATTAATCGGGGTTTGGGCCAATTAATTAACTATTAACCCTTGGGGTAGGTTATCCCCAATTTCGTGGAACTGGAGGTATTACTTACGTTAAGTGCGGTAATTAGCTTGCAAACAAGGGAATATATCAGATAATGACGTGGACTAGCCTGGCTGCCACTCAGCCTCGGCTCAGCCCAACACAGCAGGCTCGTCCACACCCCGGTAAAGACAGTCATATATTAATGTAATAATGGAACACTCACTGATACTAAATATTATAAAACAACGTTTATTAACAAAACTATAAAAAGTAACTAATAAAAATCACTCCGTAAAAACTTAACACTTCCTAAATGACCTATTTTCCTACTGAGGCCCTGAGGCACGGAGGCCCTGAGGCACGGAGGCACGGAGGCACTGAGGCACTGAGGCACTGAGGCACTGAGGCACTGAGGCACTGAGGCCCTGAGGCACTGAGGCACTGAGGCACTGAGGCACGGAGGCCCTGAGGCACGGAGGCCCTGAGGCCCTGAGGCACGGAGGCCCTGAGGCACTGAGGCACGGAGGCACTGAGGCACGGAGGCCCTGAGGCACTGAGGCACGGAGGCCCTGAGGCACTGAGGCACGGAGGCCCTGAGGCACTGAGGCACGGAGGCCCTGAGGCACGGAGGCCCTGAGGCACTGAGGCACGGAGGCCCTGAGGCACTGAGGCACGGAGGCCCTGAGGCACTGAGGCACGGAGGCCCTGAGGCACGGAGGCCCTGAGGCACTGAGGCACGGAGGCCCTGAGGCACTGAGGCACGGAGGCACGGAGGCCCTGAGGCACTGAGGCACGGAGGCCCTGAGGCACTGAGGCACGGAGGCCCTGAGGCACGGAGGCACTGAGGCACGGAGGCCCTGAGGCACTGAGGCACGGAGGCCCTGAGGCACGGAGGCACGGAGGCCCTGAGGCACGGAGGCCCTGAGGCACTGAGGCACGGAGGCCCTGAGGCACTGAGGCACGGAGGCCCTGAGGCACTGAGGCACGGAGGCCCTGAGGCACGGAGGCCCTGAGGCACTGAGGCACTGAGGCACGGAGGCCCTGAGGCACGGAGGCCCTGAGGCACTGAGGCCCTGAGGCACGGAGGCCCTGAGGCACGGAGGCCCTGAGGCACGGAGGCACTGAGGCACGGAGGCCCTGAGGCACGGAGGCCCTGAGGCACTGAGGCACTGAGGCCCTGAGGCACGGAGCGTGATTTGACTCTACTAAACTTCACAACAACTTTTACCTTAATCTAAGAAGACCAGCCGCTGGTGTTTCTGGGCTCTGGAGGTGAGAATGGTTGACCTCCGAGAGCTGCTAATCAAGATTGATTGATAAAGATTAAGCCACCCAAAAGGTGGCACGGGCATGACTAGCCCGTAAGTGGTGGCCCTTTTGAGCCATTACCAGTATCAAGAGCTGATACTGGAGATCTGTGGAGGTGCGCCTGCACCCCGCGTGACGGGAGATGTCTCCCGTCTGCTCCTCAAAACCACACTGACCTTTTCTACTCGTCTCTCAAGCCGAGACAGCTGTCCTAGTATTCCTCAGCCTAGTTATCACTTACAGGGCAGGGTTAACTGATCACACTAATGTTATTTACTAGCCAACTCAGATAGTTAAATGCTTTTTTTTTTTTTTTGAGATATATACAAGAGTTGTTACATTCTTGTACAGCCACTAGTACGCGTAGCGTTTCGGGCAGGTCCCTGGAATACGATCCCCGCCGCGAAGAATCGTTTTTTAAACTTATTGAAACTGATGGTAACTCTGTTAAGCATCTTTCAAAAAGCAATATCCAATTACAATATTGGCAAGTGATCTGAATTTTGTACTTTGTGAATTAATGAATATGGAAGTTGTGGTGTGTGTGACGCCTTACCCTTGACCCAGGTGGGGTCGAGTACTCCGCTCGACGAACTAGTACCCTCCCTACTGACGTTACTTTCTCTGTAACAGACTACAAACCTTGGTCTTTTACTCTACAAACATGTAACTTAACATACATGCTACCTTGAGGCTACCTTGAGGTGCTTCCGGGGCTTAGTGTCCCCGCGGCCCGGTCGTCGACCAGGCCTCCTGGTTGCTGGACTGATCAACCAGGCTGTTAGACGCGGCTGCTCGCAGCCTGACGTATGAGTCACAGCCTGGTTGATCAGGTATCCTTTGGAGGTGCTTATCCAGTTCTCTCTTGAACACTGTGAGGGGTCGGCCAGTTATGCCCCTTATGTGTAGTGGAAGCGTGTTGAACAGTCTCGGGCCTCTGATGTTGATAGTTCTCTCTTGAACACTGTGAGGGGTCGGCCAGTTATGTCCCTTATGTGTAGTGGAAGCGTGTTGAACAGTCTCGGGCCTCCGATGTTGATAGTTCTCTCTTGAACACTGTGAAGGGTCGGCCAGTTATGTCCCTTATGTGTAGTGGAAGCGTGTTGAACAGTCTCGGGCCTCTGATGTTGATAGTTCTCTCTTGAACACTGTGAGGGGTCGGCCAGTTATGTCCCTTATGTGTAGTGGAAGCGTGTTGAACAGTCTCGGGCCTCCGATGTTGATAGTTCTCTCTTGAACACTGTGAGGGGTCGGCCAGTTATGTCCCTTATGTGTAGTGGAAGCGTGTTGAACAGTCTCGGGCCTCTGATGTTGATAGTTCTCTCTTGAACACTGTGAGGGGTCGGCCAGTTATGTCCCTTATGTGTAGTGGAAGCGTGTTGAACAGTCTCGGACCTCTGATGTTGATAGAGTTCTCTCTCAGAGTACCTGTTGCACCTCTGCTTTTCAACGGGGGTATTCTGCACATCCTGCCATGTCTTCTGGTCTCATGTGGTGTTATTTCTGTGTGCAGGTTTGGGACCAGCCCCTCAATTATTTTCCACGTGTAAATTATTATGCTTAAACCAGATTAGTTATTATTGTAATTACTGTGACTGCTGAAATATTCGTTACTTGTTGCATTAAAACAAAGGAGACGGCCATCTTGTATTGTAAACGTGTTGATCACTTTAATCCCTGGGGGATATGAGCCTTCCTGGCCACTCACATAGTAACTCTCGTGTGACTGCAACTCTCCAAGCCCCCGTCGACCAATGTAATCCCTGGGGGATATGAGCCTTCCTGGCCACTCACATAGTAACTCTCGTGTGACTGCAACTCTCCAAGCCCCCGTCGACCAATGTAATCCCTGGGGGATATGAGCCTTCCTGGCCACTCACATAGTAACTCTCGTGTGACTGCAACTCTCCAAGCCCCCGTCTGGCCACTCACATAGTAACTCTCGTGTGACTGCAACTCTCCAAGCCCCCGTCGACCAATGTAATCCCTGGGGGATATGAGCCTTCCTGGCCACTCACATAGTAACTCTCGTGTGACTGCAAACTCTCCAAGCCCCGTCTGGCCACTCACATAGTAACTCTCGTGTGACTGCAACTCTCCAAGCCCCCGTCTGGCCACTCACATAGTAACTCTCGTGTGACTGCAACTCCCCAAGCCCCCGTCTGGCCACTCACATAGTAACTCTCGTGTGACTGCAACTCTCCAAGCCCCCGTCTGGCCACTCACATAGTAACTCTCGTGTGACTGCAACTCTCCAAGCCCCCGTCTGGCCACTCACATAGTAACTCTCGTGTGACTGCAACTCTCCAAGCCCCCGTCTGGCCACTCACATAGTAACTCTCGTGTGACTGCAACTCCCCAAGCCCCCGTCTGGCCACTCACATAGTAACTCTCGTGTGACTGCAACTCTCCAAGCCCCCGTCTGGCCACTCACATAGTAACTCTCGTGTGACTGCAACTCTCCAAGCCCCCGTCTGGCCACTCACATAGTAACTCTCGTGTGACTGCAACTCTCCAAGCCCCCGTCTGGCCACTCACATAGTAACTCTCGTGTGACTGCAACTCCCCAAGCCCCTGTCGACCAATGTAATCCCTGGGGGATATGAGCCTTCCTGGCCACTCACATAGTAACTCTGGTGTGACTGCAACTCTCCAAGCCCCCGTCTGGCCACTCACATAGTAACTCTCGTGTGACTGCAACTCTCCAAGCCCCCGTCTGGCCACTCACATAGTAACTCTCGTGTGACTGCAACTCCCCAAAACCCCCATGGACCTATGTAATCCCTATGACTGAGAATGTATAATAGATAATTTCCACAGCAAACTTAGTTTGTTACACCTGGAAAAGTACAAAGAGGAACTAGAAAGATACAAAGATATGCATGAGACTTGTTCCGGAATTGAAAGGATTGACCTATGAGGAAAGACTTAAGAGAGAAGTGGACCTTACTACACTGGAGGAAAAGAAATAGGAGGGGACATGATAATAACATACAAGATTTTAAGGTAAATTGACAAAATAGACAAAGCAGCGTTGTTCAAAGCTGAGGACAGCAGAAGGAGGGGATCATGAATGGTAATTGGAGACGCCAATGAATCAGTGACATCAAGAAGAAATTTTTAGTGTCAGAGCTGTCAATAAGTGGAGCAAGTTAGACCTAGAAGTCGTTGATGGTAATTCCATTCAAAATTAGTAATGTAAATATGATAAAAGCGTGAGAGATGAGTAGTGCTTGTATCACAGAGCATGCTCAGGGATGAGTAGTGCTTGTATCACAGAGCATGCTCAGGGATGAGTAGTGCTTGTATCACAGAGCATGCTCAGGGATGAGTAGTGCTTGTATCACAGAGCATGCTTAGGTGGGTCTGTGAGCCGAGCTCGACCCTGCACCACATCTAGGTGAGGAAACACGCACTCTCACACACCAAGGTCATCAATTCCAGGAATGGAGATTGAGAACGGTGACCTCTGATGTTCATACAGTGTTCTCTGAGTGTGTCTATGGCACCTCGTCGCTTCACTGGCTCTGTGTTTGCTATCACATCTTCAACCTGTCCTCAGGGATTCACTCAAGGGAATGGATTGGCAACGAGTGCTTAATTAGTGCTACTATCTTCTCTATCCATGGTTAGGTTAGGTTAAGGTTTCGTTAGGTTAGATTTCATTACGTTTGGTTACATTAATAGGGTGTTACAGTGTAACACAGCATCAGCCGGTACCTGGAAGATACCGCCGGCTACAAAGCTGGGAGAGAACACCAGGCACAACAGAGCTCACACAAGTGCTCGCACAAGACTTCATGAGTTGGTCTATCCAACAGTGTGAGGAGGCAGTCAACACGTTCGTCCGTGTAAAGATGGAACAGTTATCGACCCAGGATTAACCCATGGTATAACCAAGATTATAAGGAAGAGAAACAAGTGAAAACAATGGAGTGCAGTAACTACACAATGGCAGAGAGCAGCGGGAGGTGCTGAAGGTCCACCAATATACACCTGAGAGTAAAGAGAGAGAGGCGGAGAGTTAGTTTGAAGACGACACAGCAGTCAAAGCAAAGACTTAACCCAAGTAGCTTAACATCCATGTCAAGAAAAACACGACAGTTAAGGAACAAGTGATGAAACCGATGCTAGGGAATAAGACAATTATAGAGAATGACAGGGAGGTGTGTGAGGAATTCAACAAAAGATTCCAGGAGGTCTTCACAATAGTGCAAAGGAAATTATTTAAAGTGAGTGGGTAGGTATCAAAGGTAGTGGCAGTGAAGAGCTTTGCGACTACTGCGAGAGATGAGGCCAGGAGGCATCTGCTAGAGCTTGGATGATCAAGGCTGCAGCACCAGACACAATCTCAACATGGATATTAAAAATAAAGAAAAGAAGCTTTGCTCTGGCGTCTTTCTCTGCTGCAAAATAAACCATTGGAAATATGAGACCTGCCAGAAAGTTAGAAGCCAGCTAATATTGTGCCAATCTAGAAGAAGGTGATAGAGAAGATCTCGAGTCAGAGGCTAGCAGGTCATGCAGGATGGGCTCAGGGATGGTAAATCTTGCCTCACAAACCTCACAGAATTATGATCGAGCAAATTAAATCTGACAAGATAGAAAAGGGTGGGCAGACTGCATATTTGTGAACTGTCAGAAAGTCTTTGGCACAGTTCCCACAAGACTCTACATATGATGTGAAGATGGAGGCGGGAGCAGCAGGGAAGGTGCTCCCGGGGACAAGGAACTATCTAACCAATGACAATCATTGAGTGACAGTGAGGGGAAAGATGTGATAGTGGTAATGAGCTGGAAATGAGGAGAGAAGGTAGATAAGGGTAATTACATATATAGCTTCAAACAAAGATAGTACAAGAAGCAAGCACTGACCGAGGCAACTGTTACAGCAGCCAAGCCCCAACAGCTGAAGCTGGAGCCTGACAGTATGGGAGAGGACGGCGTACACACACACAGAGAGAGAAGTGTTGGTGTGAGAGGGCGGGAGTGGGAGCGTGCAGACCATTACTGGCGTACACAGCTCCCCCAGCACAGCTCTCGTCACAACACCGACTAACGCGACCTTCACCGCCTCCGGCGTAGGTGGGAAATAGCAAGAGTTGACGGCGTGTATATTTGAGGCGGCACATCCACTTTAACCCGGCTCCTGAAGCACATTACTGGGGGCCGGCCTCACTCCTCCACTACACCCACGCCACACTCTCTAGTACACTCCACATGATGCTCTCTTCCTCCTGATACACCCGTCGGTGTCTGAGGTTGACCTTCAGCTCTTGTGTCCCAGTCTCTCAAGCTCCAGCTCCCTGCTCCCTGGAGCAGAGTTCTTCAAACTTTTCAGTGACCCAGATTAAATTTCCTGTACTAACCTCACGACCCAGTCTTATATATGACCTACACGTGCATAGTACGACCACCACCTCTCACACACCTGCCTTGTGTAGCTTACGGGGATTAATGGCCCCGCGGCCCGGTCCTCGACCAGGCCTCCACCCCCAGGAAGCAGCCCGTGACAGCTGACTAACACCCAGGTACCTATTTTACTGCTAGGTAGCAGGGGCATAGGGTGAAAGAAACTCTGCCAATTGTTTCTCGCCGGCGCCTGGGATCGAACCCGGGACCATAGGATCACAAGTCCAGCGTGCTGTCCGCTCGGCCGACCGGCTCCCCTGGGTATGCAACAATGTTTTCACAGTCTCCAATATATTCAAACAACTCCTACATGCCATGACCCGAAAATTTCCCTCACTGAATGTCTACCACCATCTAGGGAGTGAGGGAAGAATGTCTACCAACCATCTAGGGAGTGAGGGAAGAATGTCTACCAGCCATCCAGGGAGTGAGGGAAGAATGTCTACCAGCCATCTAGGGAGTGAGGGAAGAATGTCTACCAGCCATCTAGGGAGTGAGGGAAGAATGTCTACCAGCCATCTAGGGAGTGAGGGAAGAATGTCTACCAACCATCTAGGGAGTGAGGGAAGAATGTCTACCAGCCATCTAGGGAGTGAGGGAAGAATGTCTACCAACCATCTAGGGAGTGAGGTAAGAATGTCTACCAACCATCTAGGGAGTGAGGTAAGAATGTCTACCACCATCTAGGGAGTGAGGGAAGAATGTCTACCACCATCTAGGGAGTGAGGGAAGAATGTCTACCGGCCGTCTAGGGAGTGAGGGAAGAATGTCTACCACCATCTAGGGAGTGAGGGAAGAATGTCTACCACCATCTAGGGAGTGAGGGAAGAATGTCTACCACCATCTAGGGAGTGAGGGAAGAATGTCTACCGGCCGTCTAGGGAGTGAGGGAAGAATGTCTACCAACCATCTAGGAAGTGAGGGAAGAATGTCTACCGGCCATCTAGGGAGTGAGGGAAGAATGTCTACCGGCCATCTAGGGAGTGAGGGAAGAATGTCTACCGCCATCTAGGGAGTGAGGGAAGAATGTCTACCACCATCTAGGGAGTGAGGGAAGAATGTCTACCGGCCATCTAGGGAGTGAGGGAAGAATGTCTACCGGCCATCTAGGGAGTGAGGGAAGAATGTCTACCGGCCATCTAGGGAGTGAGGGAAGAATGTCTACCGCCATCTGGGGAGTGAGGGAAGAATGTCTACCACCATCTAGGGAGTGAGGGAAGAATGTCTACCGGCCATCTAGGGAGTGAGGGAAGAATGTCTACCGCCATCTAGGGAGTGTGGGAAGAATGTCTACCACCATCTAGGGAGTGAGGGAAGAATGTCTACTAGCCATCTAGGGAGTGAGGGAAGAATGTCTACTAGCCATCTAGGGAGTGAGGGAAGAATGTCTACCACCATCTAGGGAGTGAGGGAAGAATGTCTACTAGCCATCTAGGGAGTGAGGGAAGAATGTCTACTAGCCATCTAGGGAGTGAGGGAAGAATGTCTACTAGCCATCTAGGGAGTGAGGGAAGAATGTCTACTAGCCATCTAGGGAGTGAGGGAAGAATGTCTACTAGCCATCTAGGGAGTGAGGGAAGAATGTCTACTAGCCATCTAGGGAGTGAGGGAAGAATGTCTACCAACCATCTAGGGAGTGAGGGAAGAATGTCTACTAGCCATCTAGGGAGTGAGGGAAGAATGTCTACTAGCCATCTAGGGAGTGAGGGAAGAATGTCTACCAACCATCTAGGGAGTGAGGGAAGAATGTCTACTAGCCATCTAGGGAGTGAGGGAAGAATGTCTACCACCATCTAGGGAGTGAGGGAAGAATGTCTACTAGCCATCTAGGGAGTGAGGGAAGAATGTCTACTAGCCATCTAGGGAGTGAGGGAAGAATGTCTACCTGCCATCTAGGGAGTGAGGTAAGAATGTCTACCTGCCATCTAGGGAGTGAGGGAAGAATGTCTACCTGCCATCTTGGGAGTGAGGGAAGAATGTCTACCAACCATCTAGGGAGTGAGGGAAGAATGTCTACCTGCCATCTAGGGAGTGAGGGAAGAATGTCTACCACCATCTAGGGAGTGAGGGAAGAATGTCTACCACCATCTACGGAGTGAGGGAAGAATGTCTACTAGCCATCTAGGGAGTGAGGGAAGAATGTCTACCTGCCATCTAGGGAGTGAGGGAAGAATGTCTACCACCATCTAGGGAGTGAGGGAAGAATGTCTACCACCATCTACGGAGTGAGGGAAGAATGTTTACTAGCCATCTAGGGAGTGAGGGAAGAATGTCTACCTGCCATCTAGGGAGTGAGGGAAGAATGTCTACCTGCCATCTAGGGAGTGAGGGAAGAATGTCTACCTGCCATCTAGGGAGTGAGGGAAGAATGTCTACCACCATCTACGGAGTGAGGGAAGAATGTCTACTAGCCATCTAGGGAGTGAGGGAAGAATGTCTACCTGCCATCTAGGGAGTGAGGGAAGAATGTCTACCTGCCATCTAGGGAGTGAGGGAAGAATGTCTACCACCATCTACGGAGTGAGGGAAGAATGTCTACTAGCCATCTAGGGAGTGAGGGAAGAATGTCTACTAGCCATCTAGGGAGTGAGGGAAGAATGTCTACCAACCATCTAGGGAGTGAGGGAAGAATGTCTACCACTATCTAGGGAGTGAGGGAAGAATGTCTACCAACCATCCAGGGAGTGAGGGAAGAATGTCTACCACCATCTAGGGAGTGAGGGAAGAATGTCTACCAACCATCCAGGGAGTGAGGGAAGAATGTCTACCACCATCTAGGGAGTGAGGGAAGAATGTCTACCAGCCATCCAGGGAGTGAGGGAAGAATGTCTACCAACCATCTAGGGAGTGAGGGAAGAATGTCTACCAGCCATCTAGGGAGTGAGGGAAGAATGTCTACCACCATCTAGGGAGTGAGGGAAGAATGTCTAACACCATCTAGGGAGTGAGGGAAGAATGTCTACTAGCCATCTAGGGAGTGAGGGAAGAATGTCTACCTGCCATCTAGGGAGTGAGGGAAGAATGTCTACCACCATCTAGGGAGTGAGGGAAGAATGTCTACCACCATCTACGGAGTGAGGGAAGAATGTCTACTAGCCATCTAGGGAGTGAGGGAAGAATGTCTACCTGCCATCTAGGGAGTGAGGGAAGAATGTCTACCACCATCTAGGGAGTGAGGGAAGAATGTCTACCACCATCTACGGAGTGAGGGAAGAATGTCTACTAGCCATCTAGGGAGTGAGGGAAGAATGTCTACCTGCCATCTAGGGAGTGAGGGAAGAATGTCTACCAGCCATCTAGGGAGTGAGGGAAGAATGTCTACCTGCCATCTAGGGAGTGAGGGAAGAATGTCTACCAGCCATCTAGGGAGTGAGGGAAGAATGTCTACCAACCATCTAGGGAGTGAGGGAAGAATGTCTACCACCATCTAGGGAGTGAGGGAAGAATGTCTACCAACCATCCAGGGAGTGAGGGAAGAATGTCTACCACCATCTAGGGAGTGAGGGAAGAATGTCTACCTGCCATCTAGGGAGTGAGGGAAGAATGTCTACCTGCCATCTAGGGAGTGAGGGAAGAATGTCTACCACCATCTACGGAGTGAGGGAAGAATGTCTACTAACCATCTAGGGAGTGAGGGAAGAATGTCTACCTGCCATCTAGGGAGTGAGGGAAGAATGTCTACCTGCCATCTAGGGAGTGAGGGAAGAATGTCTACCTGCCATCTAGGGAGTGAGGGAAGAATGTCTACCTGCCATCTAGGGAGTGAGGGAAGAATGTCTACCTGCCATCTAGGGAGTGAGGGAAGAATGTCTACCTGCCATCTAGGGAGTGAGGGAAGAATGTCTACCTGCCATCTAGGGAGTGAGGGAAGAATGTCTACCACCATCTAGGGAGTGAGGGAAGAATGTCTACCACCATCTACGGAGTGAGGTAAGAATGTCTACCAGCCATCTAGGGAGTGAGGTAAGAATGTCTACCAGCCATCTAGGGAGTGAGGGAAGAATGTCTACCACCATCTAGGGAGTGAGGGAAGAATGTCTACCACCATCTACGGAGTGAGGGAAGAATGTCTACTAGCCATCTAGGGAGTGAGGGAAGAATGTCTACCAACCATCTAGGGAGTGAGGGAAGAATGTCTACCAGCCATCTAGGGAGTGAGGGAAGAATGTCTACCAACCATCTAGGGAGTGAGGGAAGAATGTCTACCAGCCATCTAGGGAGTGAGGGAAGAATGTCTACCAACCATCTAGGGAGTGAGGGAAGAATGTCTACCAACCATCTACGGAGTGAGGTAAGAATGTCTACCAACCATCTACGGAGTGAGGTAAGAATGTCTACCAACCATCTAGGGAGCGAGGTAAGAATGTCTACCAACCATCTAGGGAGCGAGGGAAGAATGTCTACCAACCATCTAGGGAGTGAGGTAAGAATGTCTACAACCATCTACGGAGTGAGGTAAGAATGTCTACCAACCATCTACGGAGAGAAGCAAATAATACTGGTGCTGGAGCCATGGCTGTCAACAGGGGTATAACCGAGGAAGTAATTCTGGAAGCTGTAAACTGTGATTCAGTATACCAGGATAAAAATGATAGCAGACAGGAAAAAGCAACAGACAGCATTGACCGCTCGATAGGTACAGACACTACAACAGACCACAACAGACAGTCCAAAAAGACATTTGCAAAGGGCATTTACCGACATAATACTGTGACAAGGG